TCACAAGCATGGACTTTGACACTATGCATATCTGATTGTAAAACCTCGGTTGCTGCTGAAAAATGTTGATTTTAGCAGTAGGCAAAGGTTGAAAGTCAGCTAGTGTAATCATTTATTTACGATATATAATTGTATATTAAAGTGAGAGCGTCGAACGCACTCTCATAATCTCTGATTACTACTAGTTATTATTGAATAAACGGGGGAGCTACACGTAAACAGTTAACAGACAAGAGCTGCAGATACATACGTCTTTAAAATATAACTTTGAATGAGGGTGTATTACTCGGCTGAAAAGGAATGTCTATCGCCCGTATTAAATGGGCGTATATAACAGTTATAACAGAAAACATATAAGGTTTTGTCGGGCAGGTAAAAATGCCCCCAATATCTCTAATAAGTGGGTGTGCTGCAAAGCGCGTGCCAGAATAATGCACACTGATTGTCATTTATGCCAAAGGAGGGTTTGTAATATTTCCGTTTTTTACATGTAATAATAACCAGCACAGTTTCCAACAGGCTTCTGTTCAATTGACACTTGCCGTGAGCAAGAATAAATAACAGACTAATACCTTTAGCAACTTATAGTCAATTTAAGGTAAATCCCGTGCTAACTGTAGCAAATCTTTATTCGCTTTTACGAAAATTAGTCAACCGTTACTTTTCAAAGCTCCGTCTTGAATTCCTTCATTCTTACTCACTGCATTGATCTTCCCGTCGTCTATTTTGCTCTGTTTCAAAGAGCAACATGTTTTCCAGTAAATCTTCGAAGTCGTCGGTGTCTCTCTCACAAGGCTCGTTACGGGCCCCGTGATTCTGGACTGGCCTTTGATTTAACCAAAGTAAACCACGTTCAATGAGATCTTGAATGTTTCGCCTTCGGTCGTTTATTCCCTCTATCTCCTTTTCCATTTTAAGTTCTCGAGATATCTGTAGTGCTTCATCAAGGACATTCATTGCTGCCAATAAATTAAAAATTTCAAACGTTCACAACGTGTATCGTTCAGGGTAGGTGGGTGGGTGGAGGACATCACTGAGAAATACTTTCCCTTTTATGCCTAGTCAGCGTCCGCGGAAAGTTTCCGCGCCGACTTCAAATTCTCTGATTTGTAACTGGAAACTATTTTCCCAAAACTTATGTATCTGGGAAACATTTTGCCGAGACAAGTTTTTCCTTAGTGTCTATCTGTAGCTTGACAAGAATGTTATACCCAGTTTTTTCGGTTTGGTCTGTTTTATTTTTTGCTTTGGCATTCGTATACTTTCTGTTGATCCATTTAACGGTTAGCCTGCAAGATGGCGGACCCAAAATAGCATTTTTTTTTTGTAATTACGTTATTTTAGTTGTCATGACAACAATGTAGTGAAAACTAATCCACTGCGCGACGTATAAAAAGGCAGAGTGAGCCAAAATATTGAGACTGATGGGGGTTAAGCCAGTCAATAGGCCCTTTGCAGCTAAGCCATCACGTGACCTGTTTTTCATAAAATTATGGGCTACAACTTAAAGAATGCCAGAAATGGAAAGAGCGCATCGA